CATCTGGTTTTAATGAATATAGTTTAATACGATAAGCTACATGCAAATGTTCCGTATAATTTAGGAATTTATCTAAAGTTTTTTGAAACAATAATAATAATGCACTAATGGGATAGAGACAGCGCATGACGCAATCAAATGTTTCATCAATTCGAAAATTAAAAAAAAATAAATACAAATAGAATCTGAAGAAGCATGGGCAAAATATTTTTAAAGACTGTTTTCAGATGGTTTGAGATTTGTGGAAGAATATACCTGAATGCATAAAAAACTGAATATACCTGAATGTATGCAAAACTGAATATACCTGAATGTATGCAAAACTGAATATACCTGAATGTATGCAAAACTGAATATACCTGAATGTATGCAAAACTGAATATACCTGAATGTATGCAAAACTGAATATACCTGAATGTATGCAAAACTGAATATACTAATTGCAAATAAAATCTCAAGGTTAGCAAATCTTTCACTAACTAATTATTTGAATTTTAACTGAAATGAGAAGTTGTCTAAAATGATAAGAATGGATAAAATGACATATGGACTTAAAGATAGGCATGAATGAAATGAAGGCAAACATGTCAGACAACATTATGCAATCCGTCATTTTTTTTTTTCGGAAGAAAGCAAGATAAGTAAATATGAATTGATTGTAGTAGCAATGTTATTTGTATGTTAATGAACAAAAGTATATGTTGGATAAAAATAAATTCATTTGTAATCAATTTAATTTTTAGTTAAAATATTCTAATTTGGAATCTAATTTAATTAAAATTTCCATTGATTTGGAATAAATATGTAGAGAAAACGTGCATGATTGGTATATTACGTGGTTTTTAAGTGTAAAACACGCACAGCCACGCCCATTGCATTCTTTTCGCTCCGTTAAATGGTACTGTATCGCTTAATTTAAATTTATAAATTTAAAAAAAGAAAAAGAAAAATTTCAGTTGTTACTTTCAGAAATATTGTTAATTAACATAATTAACAAAGACAAAAGACAAAAAAAAGGAAGGTTTCTTTTTGACGAAGAAAGACGACGAAAAGAATAAGTTACTTTGTTGAATGGTATACTTATAGCAATAACTCACATCATAACAATGCTAATATCAAAACAAATACGAAAGTAACTGCTGTAATTCATTAATCTTTGATCCTACCATATGATTGTAATAATATTTTTGACAAATCTCAATCAATTTGTGAGAGAAAAATTCTAAAACCAAAAAAAATTCAATCTTATTTTCATCTTTTCCTTTTGAAAAAAGTTCCAATAGTTATGCAAACTTTGATTTGTGTATATGAAGAAATTAACTTTAAAAAAGATTGTAACAAAAATGAAATTGAAACAGTTGTTCGATGGTCGATTTATTTTTCCCGCGTTCCTCTCTTGTCAGGTATTTTAATTCCATTGGAATGAATGTTTCCATTCGATTAGCTCTTTTAGATTGGACAGGAAGAAATTGAAGGTTAGAATGAGAGAGAATTAAAGTGATGATAAATGAGGTACATGAATTCTTTAGGCTTTTAGTCTCAGGTTTAATCACTCCTTATCCAAAATACACCTCAACTTTCTATCCAATATCCGTTCGTTTCTTTCTCTCTCTGTTCGTTTTTCTATCCAATCCGATTATTCACATTACAAATCTTTCTTTTTTTTTTCTTTTATTGAGACAAACAAAATTTCGTTTTTCATCATTGACATCATCATCATCATCATCATCAATGCATTTTCGGTTTTAGTCCGGCTGACGAGATAAGAAGATTAATTTTTTCTTTGAAAATTTCCCTACTTTTCGGCTGTAAATTTTAAAATAAACAAATTTTTTGAAATTTTATCCAGTCTTTAGTTTAAAGAACAGCTATGTATCAGTGAGATGTAATGGAATGGTTTCAATCATTTCAAAAAAAATTTGACAGCGGTTATATATATATAATTTTTAAACTAATTGATCGGATATCGAATAAACAGACTGAAAGACGTATGATTGGATAAACGAATTTTGGGATAATAGAAATAAAAATTTGAAACTATTTAAAATTTAGGAATTTATAAAAGGATTGTTAAGTGTTATATATGAAATTTAGAATATATATTTGCAGGTATATTAACAAAAAAAGAAAATCACATTTCATTGAATGATAAGAATGCTTTCTCTTTTCTTTTCTTTTTTTTTTTTGTCTTTTTTCTTCCTTATTGCTTAAACCGCTGCTGAATAATATAATGCACAACTGTTTAATCTAACAGGTACTGCCAGATGGACAGGCGGAAAGATAGATGAATAGATAAACTAAAAAGCGAATGAATTCCGACACGATGAATACAAACTTCAACAATTTTAAATTTAAAAAAAAAATGTAGACTTTACGAAATTGAATACCTGAATTAGCTAATCTATTTGTATTACATTTAGTAGATTGATTTGTCACTTTTAAGCATATCATAAATGCCACTTTAAAGTAACATTTTAAAAATAAATTTTTTAAATTTAGTATGCTGATAAAATCAGCAATATTACTTACTTGTTTAAATTGCTCTTCATATGACCAGTTTTGTTGTCCACTAGCATCCGAATCCGCATTATCATCACCGGTACTTCCGCCAGCTCCCGCAATGCATTCTTTTTTCTCTTTACGAAAGCTTAAAATCAAAAATACATTTTTTGAAAAAATTTGTTTACTTTCAAAAAAATTTCATTCAAAACAAATTTAAACAAAAATATGAAAATAATAAAAATGAAAATACAAGGAAAGGAAATAAATTTACTCCTGATATTATTGGGTAAGTTGGTTTCAATAAAATCATATCTAATATAGAAATGAAATGGATAAGATTTTACTTAATAGTTAAATCTTCTGGCTCGGCACTTGCCAACACTTCATTCTCATCCTCATCATCTAGACCAGGTGATACACCGGAGCTTCTCGGATTACCACTAGCGGCCGCAAATTGATTATGTAATGCTAAGGGATTTTGCTGGAGAGCAGCCAAAAATGGCGGGAAAACACTGATTGGAAATGTTGACCGAAATCTGAGATCTACAAGTGTCGCAGTACTAAACCTGGCTAAATGTAATTAAATTCCAATTCAAATTTCAAATATTACGAAAAATGAAATAATATTAAGCAATGGAAACTATTTTTATCGTCAAATATGAAACAAATGAAAAAGTAAATGTGAAGAGAAGGTTAAAAATGAATGAGATGTAAATTTGTTTTGGAGACAGACTAAATGAACTTAAATATGAAGCTATTCAAATTTAATCAAATTTTAATCTTATCAAAAATTTTTTCAATGAAATATAATTGAATTGTACCGTTTAATGAGGAAGTAAACCTCTGAAAGGCTTTTTGTTGAACTTCAAGCTCACGTTCTAACATCGAATTTGCGTCATCATCAGTTACTGGTGAATTTCCATTTTTAATCTTAACTTCCTAGAAATCATGACAAAAAAATGTCACAGAAAATTTATTCTTATACTACCACTAAATAATTCGAAAAAAAAACTCAATTTTAGATTAGAAAATTATCGAAAAATTGTAAAATTTATTGAATTACAAGAATATTCAATGAAGCAAAGAAATCTAAAAATTTGATTTTAGAAGAAGTTTCAAAGACGTTTTGAGAATGAAAATATTTTTTCATGTTTTGACATAACAAGTTGATAGAAACTTGATGATAACTTTAGGATATTATGTAATATTAGATGAGACGAATGCCATATAATTGTTTTTGGACGTAAAGATTATTTGGCTTGATAATGTGGTAAGCGAATAATTCTTATGTTTATAATAAAGCAAGTAGTTTAAATAATTACATCATTGTTTTTTGAAGCATTTAGAATAGTCGATAGATTGGTAGTTAAGTCAGATTGTAGAACACCGGATTGTTCCGAAGTATTCTGTAATGGAGGAGTTGTTGAAGCGCTACAGGATGATAATTGCATTTGTAATGCATGTTGTGATTGTTCCAAAGATTTATCAGAGCTTAAATCAGCTCCTGATGGTGATGATACTGATAATGGTGTTGTTTCCATTGCTATCGACATATCGGAGCATTCAAATTATTCAACCTGAAAATCTGACATATTATAAACATTCGATTTATGCATTAATTTTTTTATCACAATCTTCTGGTATTCCGGAAAATTGGAGTGTATTACATGATAATTTAGATTAAATAAAAAAAAATGGACAAACATTTTAAGGCCTACTATTTTGAAATAGCTTTTATGAAGTAGTAGCTATTTCAAACTACAAGTGGCTTTCATTGTTTATCTGATTTTTTTTTAAATGAAATATAATCCTAGAAATATTGGCAATACAGTATGCCACACTGATACATTTCCGAGAGCGGGCTAAAACGAACAATATTTTAAGGCCAGCATAACCCGGAAAATGATCCAGAAAACCGGAGCTTATCTTAGATAATATCAATAATGATCAGGATGAATGCCGTGATCTACGGGATGATAATAGTGGTTTGTAGTGGAGGGGAGGGGGTAAGAGGATGAATGAATGGACCGATCAGCGGATAGAGCAGGGTGTTGTGTTAAGCATATGATTGGTTGGATAACGCAATGACTCGGGGAGGAGCTTCCAGTCTCATCAGACCGAACCACCCGCCATCATAAATGCTTACTACCAAAACTGTTGCCAATGGATGGATGAGGAGTACGAAGATCATGATTACAGTTATCATTGATATTAATTGTGATAACAATAATGATGATGAGAGGTGTGGTGAAAACTTATGATCAATATTACAATAATAATGTTGATAATAATAACAGCTGTATCAGCAATTATTTATTTTCAAATATTCTTACAAACTATAAATAGCTAAACCATAGGAATTTTCTCTTCCTAATGAAGTAATTACAATAATGATAGTGCCAGAGATAATGATAATGATGATGATAATGATAATAATAATATTAATAGTAATAAAATAATAATAATGATAATAACAATAATAATAATAATAATAAGCAACAATAATAGCATATTTGCATGTACATACTTTGCGTGCGTTATCAATGCATTTGCCAAAAATTTTGAAAACTTTTTGAGTAAACCAAAAAAGAAAAATTAGTGAAACAATAATCATTGAATTTTCTAGAACTATTCAATCTTTTATATTCTTTCCTCACGATTATTCCTTTGGCTGTAACGAATAAAAAATAAGTGCTAATGATATTTGTTACATTGATAATTCTTATCACTACTAAATATCATCTTATCATTGAA